GCAAACGTTTGTATTTAAGTGCGTGCTAGAACGATTTTCATGGACTAAAGGGACTCAAACTGTTCCACGCGTTTCTTCGTGTTTCCTTGACGAATTGCATGCAGCGTGCGATATTTATCCATACCCTTGCTAAGATTCTCCTCATAACGAATGTCAACTTGTTGAAGCTTGCGTCGATCGCGTGTGGCATCCAAGTCCTTTCGCATAACTTCTAGTCGTTTGGCGTGGTCCATGTTGGTTGCGGCCATGACCTGGCGACTGTCCTCGGGACGTGATAGATTTTCCAGCGGTTGTAGTTCTTGTTCTGCAAAATAGGGTGTAGGTGGAAACCAAAACTTTGATTGCTACGGAGTGAGTGGTTGAACCTTGCCAAAAAATGAAAACCACATGGGAATAAATGAGAAAAAACCGTACAAAAAATGCCCAGTTGTTCACAGTTCAGGTAGACGTACTATACTCACTTTACTGATTACAGGCTTAAAGCAAGAAAGTCGTCCAAATAGTGTTATTCAGGAAAATATAAATAGATGACCAAACGTTATGAAGAAGTGTCTCATAATCTACGTTCTTGGTTCCCAAGGATTTAGATTTGCCCAAAGATATTTTACCGTTGGGATAACTAATAGGTGCATTAACAGATATTTAAAGAAATAGAAGAATGAGGCTCACGCTCAGCTCAGTTTGCTTTTACAACTTTGCACTTTCGTGCGGCGGTTTCCANGTTTCCATCGCTATCTTTCGGCTGTCCATCTGGATGCAAGGGTAGAAGGAATATTGGAAAGTTCAAAGCAGTGTCGCAGAGAAAATGGAGTATTCTGGTGGACTAATGTTGCAAACAAATTGAAAAGATGCACAAACGCCACTGTTTATAACTCTCAGCTTATCACTCAGTGTCACTAATGGCCCGTAACGATGAATTCAGGGTGAACATCGAGGGGAGTGCTCCTGACTCAGTTTGATCAACCTTTGAACCAGGATAGCGCTTTGTGCTAGTGCTTGGCCTGTGTTTATTTATAAGTAGGAAACCTAACTACTGCGAGACGCACACAGCGGGTGGCTAGCTGTATTTTACTATTGATACCCACAGCATACCTGAAGTGGGAGGAAAGAATATCCAACCACGAATTCATGATATGGTGATGCCTTATTGAACAATTAACCATTTCTTCCAACGCCAACCACTGCAATGGTTCAGATACAA